CATACTTTCATGTGTATCTGGATGGAGCTGGGGAAGTCCTCTTTAGGTGTTTTGCAGCTGTTAGGCAAACAGTCAACAGGAAATATCTGTACTTTATTTGGCACAACCTCGCATCAATTACCTCTTGTCCCATTAAACCTTCTAATAGAGATTGAATAAGGCTTCTCAGTGAAACTTAATGAATCTGATTGCCTCCTTGTCCCCATCCAAATAGAAATGTTGGCTTCAAATATGTCTATGTATTGATCTCGGTGCCCAAGTATTATTACAGAAAGTGTGTGTGTGTGTGTGTGTGTGTGTGTGTTTAAGAGGAGTAGTTTGTTGCACCATAGCAAAATATATCACTGACTTAAAAACCATGCTGAGTGGTAAACTTATTGATATTTTTTATTGTTGTAGTTGCAAAGTAAGTACCTATTGGTTGATTGATCTATATAGTGTCTGCTTGGAGCAACTCATGCTCATAGGAAAGACCTCTCAGAATGAGTACTAGCCTAAAAGAGCAAAGAGAAGAAAGGAGAGGAGGCCTGTGTCCTTAGCTGGGTGAGACTGGGAAGGAGACTAGGTACATCTCCAGGAGGCGCTGGAGGTCATCACTGCTGGGAAGTCTAGAACAAACACACAGAGGAAAGTGAGGCCTGACCTTCCTCCTTGTTCTGCCTCCAAGGAGTGTGGAAATCTGATACTGCCACTGGAAACTCTCATTGTAGAGTCTAAAGGCACATTCTGAGCAACTCTAGAACAAAATAACCAGAGAGCAGTCTCTGGACATCATGGTAATGCCTCATTCCTGAATGACCGAAAACTTCGGAACACATACCCTTTCACCTCTGACCTGACAGTTTATTTTCATGGGAAGCAGAGAAGAAGATGGGGAATTAAATGACAGCAAGGACCTTTTATGTTAAGAATGGAGTAGCATTTTCTTTTCATTGAGCTTAGTAAAACGGTAAATGTCTTTTAACATTGATATTTTAAATTACTATTTATTCTAAGAATATGTTTTCTAGAGATTTTTAAGATGACAAGATAGAGATTCTACATTTTTTGTACCATTGTCCTTTTAATGTAGTTTTCATTTTTTCAAAATTAATAAAATGTTTAAGTTTTTAATTTAAATGTTGAATTTTCTTTTGCTTAATTTTTTTTGCCCTTAGATTTCTTTTACATATATTTAAAGTTAATGTAAAAGGTAGCCCCATCTACTATGAAACAGACAGAACCACTTTATGTCCCATGTCTTCTGTGTCTCTCAGACGTGTCTGTGGTATAAATCACACAGTGACATCACTGGGTATGCTTTGGGTGGATTGTACTGGGTAATGTATCAATTTTGTCATTTTTTATTGTTGTTTATAAATAAGGATGTGTGTGTATGTAAGTGATACTTTTTAATTCCTAATGCAAACTGAACCATAGTCTGTTTAGACTTTTCATACGTGTTAGGCTATCAGTGTTAACATCACCTGCATACCCAGTCCCATTCAGCCCAAAGTCGCCATGGAGTGTTAACGTCACATAGTGCTGAATTGCCTCCTTTATCCTGAAAAGTAATATTGCGTGGAAGTTGCTCGTGCACAGTTTTTCATATCCCTTTTCATACAACAAATGTGGCTGTGATTAAGTACTCGTAAGCAAGAATTCATGTAATGAAAAAATTTACATACATATGAACTAAGCTCATTGATTCCCAGGCATGAAAGAGAGCATATCATCTGTTTCTTTGTATCAAGATTTTTTTTAACAATAAGATACCAAATAGTGTTTTTGAAGTGTAGACTTGTTCATAAACATATTTTCTATCCAATATTATTTCATTTACTTGTAAAATGCAACACTGTTTTGGAAAGGGGCTGCCTAGATCTCTGCAAACTTTATATTCATCTCGGGAGACGTACCAACTGGGAAAATACTAAGTTACTTCTCATTTTATTTTTCCCTGGGGCATTTTAAAGCTTTGTTCTGCCTTTATGGAGTACATTTTTAAAAATAGATTTCCACTTTCAGTGATAATATGTTCACTAATCACAGTTCAATATTTCATAAATAGAATAGCATTTTTTGGTAAGGAATTTATTCATTGTTCACATTTGTGTGTGCATGCCCAAAGTGCTGAAGCATCTCTAAAATGAAATTGGGTCCATGTCTATATGAATGAAAATAAATAAAGGAAAGCATCCAGAGAAATGACGTCGTCTCTAGGTGCTTTTGACATTTTGGAGGCTTCTCACCAGGGGAGCTGGGTATCTCTGGCAGACGCCTGTGGGTTGGCTTCCACCGTTTTCATAATGGGACTCTGGCTCCACCAGGAGATAAAGGTTATGAGGAGAAGGAAGGGTTTGGTCCCAAAGATTGGATGTGTGAGAGCAAAGTGGCAGATTGATGGTGACAAAGTTGCACCACGTAATGTAAGGAGCCTCTGTAAACTCCTTGTATGGGTATTAAACTTTAAACATTGACAGCTTTCATTATGGGTGTGACAGAAGTATTCCACAAATGGCCATCATTTAAGGCAAAGTGAATTTTCATCTCACAGCTTACACAATTTTTTCTTGTCATTAGCAGCCATTTTTCGTATGTCAAAGGAAGACACTTCTTTCATAAAACATATTTGCCTCAATGCCAGTAAGTTTGACTCTAAGTGCTGTTTTCTGATAGATCGTAGTTGTGGCGAAACAAAGTCAATCAGTTAAAAGTTTGCCAGGACTGTTTGAAGACTCGAAGAACAGTGTGCGCTTCCGTCCTTTGCCGCTTGAAGGACATCCTTTCCTAGATTTCCCCAAGAGGTTTGAGATCTATGGAGATTCTGTGGGTGAGAGACTTGAATTTGAAACACTGAATAGCTATCTGTCCACGGAATGAATGGGGTGAATGACGATGGCTCTGGTGGAGGGCTGACCACAAGAGAATTGAAGAGGTTGCAAGGCTGGTGCCACAGCCATTCGGGCAGCTGGAGAGAGGAAATGTTTGAACACCCCAGTGACACTCTGATGATGTCAGTCAAATGCCATATGTGGTGGTTGATTCAACTTATATAAACTCTCCCTGAGGTGAGAAAACTCTGTCCTGTAAATTTATGAAGTGAGAACATGGATATACCAGACTTCTGAATGCTGTTATTTCGGAGTACTTCTTAGGATATCCTTCATTCTACGGAAAGATCTAGCTAGATTCTTTTGTGTGGAACTCAGTGTGAAAATACTATCTTACTAGACATGCCTGACTAATGTGCTGAGCAACCTTACCTTTATCAGTGGATAGAAATAATTTATAGGCCACTTCACAGAATAGTAAAAGTATGGAGCCAGAAGATATTTGGAATTTTAATTCAAATGCCTCGTATTTTAGTGGAAGAAACTGAGCCACAGAGAGGTCAACAGATCCATTTGGGGTCAGAAGATGAGATAGGGTAATTGCTTAGCTGCTTGCTCTCTGGCTGAGCTTTCTAGACTCCTAGTCCAGTGCTCATTCAGTGACACCACACCGTAGGCAACAGGCCATAGTTAGAGGTATCAGTCTTTCTAAACATGGATCTGACTATAACACTCCCCAGATCAAAACCATTCAAAGCGGCCTGAGAGCTCCTCAGGGCAGTGCCCACATTCAGAATGTGGCTGGCAAGGCCATACCGATCTGAATCCTTCTTGCACTGTAGTCTAATTTTTTGCCAGCTTCCACCCACTGAACTCATTTTTGTTCCTCAAAGGGGTGAATGTATGTGTGTGTGTAATTATTGGCCTTTTTTCACACACTCTTTCATTTGCCTAAAACACTTTTCCCGACCTCTTCACGAGGCCCAGCCAACTCACCCTTTCAGTTTAGCTGTTGCTTTCTGTCCCTCTCTGTGCTTCTCCCATGAGAGCACTGACCACATCACGTTGCACATGTCCATTTACTTACCTGTCCGCCTCCAGATTGTGAGGAAAAGCAACGTCAGTTTGGTCATCCCCAACCTCGTGTGTCTGTGCATAGTGGGTCACCTATAGATATGTTTTGACAATTGAGTGGAGAAATTGCGCTGAGGCGGAGTCGCAGAGGTGCTTCCTCCTCTTCTCTGTACGTGCTATTCTTTGATGTTTCCCCCTCCCCAAACACCATCCTTCAATCCATTTTTCCTACTTGAATCGCCTCCACTCATGATTTCCACAGAAGAGTCTTTACCAAATCCTACATGCTGGGGTTGTAGTTACAATTGTGCCCTCTTGTGGCGCAGTTATGAAGAGTGCCAGCCATCCGGACAGGCTGCCTGTCTTCAAAGCCCAGTCTCCTGCTTGCCAGCCGTGAAGTCCTGGGCTTCTTCCCTGCCTCAATTTCCCCATCTCTGCAACGGGGATACTCACAACCACCTCACAGGGCTGCAGTGAGGATCCAAGAAGACCATCCAAGAACAGCCACTGGCTGGTGGCGGGCGTTTGGTCACTGTCATTGTTGTTATTCTCAGTCCAGAGACCCCCAGACCTCTACAGGGAAAGTAAGCTTGGAATACACTCTTGTTGATGAAAAATGAGTGTTGGTGAGCATAATTTAGTGCGATCTTACTTCTGTGTGTTACTTTGGCATTAAAATGTTTAGTTTGAATGAAAATTGTATTTGCATTTGAAAGAAGTTGGTAAACATGATCATTTCAACCCACCTGAATCACTTCAATGGCATAAGCTTTCTTTACCTACGACACATGTTACCTGTGACCTCTGTCCAGACCCAACGGCAGCAAGACTCCCAGGAGGAAATGAAGCTTTTCAACCCCAGACATGTGAACCTCTCCTCGGACTGTGAAGCTTACCCTAAGGAAACATGGCGGGGTGGGGACCCGTTGAGCACTTGAACCCTGTGCACTGACTTGGCACGGGAGCTCAGAGGCTTACCTGGTATCAGTTCACCTCTGTGTGGGGACAGAAAGTGCATACTCATTAGCCTGCTTGTCAAATATTGGACAAGTAGAGGCAAGCCTATCTTAAAACTGAATCTTCTGTAAGTAATTTATTTTTCTGTCTTCTCAGACAGCTCAGCTCTCTCAAGCCAGCGGAGTAGTTTCCCAACTTCCTTCTGGACCAGCTCTTACCAGTCGCCACCTGCACCCTGTTTGGGTGGCGTTCATCCTGACTTCCAGGTCACTGCACCCCCTGGCACCTTTACCGCAGCCGACCCCAACCCCTGGCCGGGACACGGCCTGCATCAGACCGGCCCAGCCCCTCCCCCTCCTGTGTCTGAGTCCTGGCACTACCCTTTGGCATCTCAGGTGAGCCCCTCCTACAGCCACATGCATGACGTGTACATGCGGCACCATCACCCCCATGCCCACATGCACCACCGCCACCACCACCACCACCACCCTCCTGCTGGCTCTGCCCTGGATCCGTCCTACGGGCCCCTGCTGATGCCGTCAGTGCGTGCAGCCAGGATACCTGCTCCCCAGTGTGATGTCGCAAAGACAGACCCGACAACAGTCACCACTGCTACCTCAGCGTGGGCTGGAGCCTTTCACGGAACCGTGGACATCGTGCCAAGTGTGGGGTTTGATACAGGTGAGCCAGGGGATTTCCATAAAGAGAAGTTAAGAAATCAATATTGAGAAATGGAGGATGTTGTAAATACTTTGAAATATTTTTTCTCTTATATGTAAAGTGAAACTTTGCCAGTATTCTTAGAGAACCTAAGCATTTTGCCACAATTCCTGTGTTCTTGCAGAAACTGCTGTGACTCGCCCAGCGAGTACAGCCTGGGAAGGGCCTGGGAGCTTTTCTCCCCTTTGACAAAGACTACCTTTCAGCTGGTGATCTGTTCCTTTGAATGGGGATCTCTAGTACCTTATGTTTCAAAGAATGGACCTTGTTCTTTAAGTCTCTCTGCGTCTGTGCTCTGTACCATGTGTAAGGCCTAAAAGAGTTCAGAAAAAGTATGTGTCAGTAGTTTTTCTTTCTCTCCTTTTTTTAGGTCTTATTAATGATTTATAAAACAAACTGCTTTCTGAGAATAGTCAATGGTCTACTCTTTTGAAAAGAAGAAAAGTATTGAAAGGAGTGGGTTTCCCTTCACTTCCCTTCCTCTTCTTTGCCTTCTCTCTTTTTCCCTTCCTTCCTCCTCATCCTTCCTCTCTTCCTCTCTCTATTTCTGTCCCTCCTTTTCTCTATTTTAAATAACACCAGACTTAAAAGACTACTATAAAGTTTATTTTCAATAGATTTAGAAAAAAGCTGGTAAGGGAAATATTTATGAACAGAGCATTTAGCTCCTCTCTGGAATTCGCTAGTTCTGAGGGCGTAGTGTTAAATGTTGGAGCTTCTTTTTGGACCAGACTAGTTATGTTAACAGTATTATTGGTTTTGAGTTCCTGACAGCACAGGCATCAGAGGCTAAAAAGACAAATCGAGTCAGTGATTACATCCCCAGACTCTGCGTTCCAGTCGCCCACCTCTGCCTCCAATCCTGGGTTCTTTTCCGGGAACACCTTGTGACATATTAGGACTCTCCTTCCAGAGGTTTAAAGAAACTCCCTCTGTCCTTGGTTTTTCTATAGTGTGCAGGAGCTTTAATTGGAATGCTGCTTCACAGCAGAGACTCCCCAGAGTAGTAAATGCCCAGGGTCAAGTGGCATTCTCCCTGACATGAGTGGAACATTCTTATCTTGGTTACTGGTTCTCTCCACTGAGCTTTCCAAGGTTGTTCATTGCCTGGCCTCACCCATTTCAGCTTCCTGTGGAGTCTCTGGGTTCAAGCTGTTTTTCTAAGCAAACTCTCAGGGGCCTTGGTTCTCCCTCTCTAAGAGAAGAGAATGTGATGGGGCTACCCACCACAGGCGCTTCTTCCTCTGCACATGCTAGCAGAGAGAAGGCAGCTCTTGAGTTGTTTGATGCCTGGGGCCTGATCTGAGTCGAGTCCCAGTTCAGTAGCTGCCATCATGTGTAGCCAGCACTTCGCGATGCCTGTGTGACCAGGGTTAACAGGGCCCTTAGCAGGGTTAACAGTGCCCTTAGCAGACAAAGGGAACGTCCTCTCCTGTCTTAGTCACTTTGGGCTGCTCTAACGGAATACCAGTCCCCGGATGCCTTAAAACAACAAGCATTTAGTTCTCAGTTCTGGAGGCTGGGGAGTCCAAAATCAGAGTACCGGCACATTTAATGTCTGGCAAGGGCCCGCTTCCTGATTCACAGACACTCTTCTCAATGTGTCCTCGCATAGTGGAAGGAACAAGGAGACTCTATGGGGTCTCCATTCATGAAGGTTCTGCTTTCATGACCTAATCACCTCCCAAACCCCCCCCCCCCATACCTTCACTTTGGGCATTAGGGTTTAACATAGGAATTTTGGGGGGACACAAACATTCGGTCTATAGCACCCCCTCTGTGATTTCTGTAACATGAAGGGGAAGATGGACGTGATTGCTTGTTCTCTGCTTCTAATTCTCTGTCACTTGTTATCTACTTTTGTACTTGTCAACTTTGGTGTGGGCCTGATTCATTGACTCATTGTTCATAATTTCATCTTTAAGTAGTCACTGAGGGGGGGGAATTCATTCTCCTACCTTTTGGGAGTGGAGAAGAGAAAATTTTTGTTCTTTCTGAAGAATCTAGAGAGGACCCAAGGACCCATAGTTCTTGATACTTACTGAGCTATGAATCAACGTTCATTGAGTACCCACTATTCAAGGGACTGCCAGAGGTACTTCAGATATATCTTTTTGCTTTTAATCCCTAAACCAAGTCTGAAATAGGTCTTCTTAGATTCGTTTACAAGTAAGGAAACAGCCTTGGTTTTTCCATTTGAGAACTACTTGCCTAAATCTCAAGTGCTCAAGCTGGCTTTGAACTAAGACCTTCCCCAATCTAAGAAGTTGTGGGGGTAGCATCTCCTTGTATATATAGGTAAAATAGATTATTTATTAGGACTGTTAAATTAGACTATTAATGATTAGTAAGGAGGGATGAAGATTAACCTACTGGCTGTACGTAGTGCTCCTCTTCGTCAGTGTGGGTTTGGGATGAGGATCATGATTCATCCCTATTCCGTAGTTTTGACCCAGTTGAGAAACAAGGACAAAGGAATCAAGCAGATGAAGATCAAATTATTAGCATAATCATTGATTGGGCTGAATTGGAAATCCTAGATTAGGTTTCCTGCCTAATCTAGAGAATCAGAGAAGATTCCCATAGACATCTTCCTTGTCACACAGTTTACAGCCCCTTTTCTGTGAAAAGAGATTGCTGGTTGCTCAAATTTGCCTCTGAAAAGCATCATCTGAGGCAGGACCCTGGTGTGCTCTCCCTCCAAAGGGCAGGCACAGGAGGAGGCTGCACCTCCCTGCCTGGGGCTGGACCAAAAGGGGCAGTGGCAGGGGCTGAGCCACCTGTGCTCTTCTAACTCCAGGCATCATCTCAAATGTCACATCTCTCTTCCTTTGGGAAGAGTTACAGAGGAGTGTTTTGGGCCAGTTTCTCCAAGAAACAGACTCTAAGGTGTAGATTTGACTGTAGATAATTTATGGGGTTGTGTTCTCAGGGCAGCATCTTTGTGGGCTGTGGGAAGAATTGGGCAGGAGAAGTCTCCCTGTGATTAAGTTCAGCTGAGCCTTAGGAGATTCTTCAGGGAGCTGGGGAGCTTGGATGGCCCTTTATAATTGTCCTGTCCTGAGTTGGTGTGGATGGGCTTCTATGTCCCTGCGCTGACAAGTGATTGGATGGATTTCCCTCTGGAAAGGGGACATGGCATTAGGCAGGGTAGCTTTGCTCTCCTGAAGGCAATTCCCAAAGAGAGAAATGACTGACAGTCGTGAGCTGCCAACAGCAGGGGAATGGACGTCTCCACATGGAATGGGGAGCAATTGGTACCCCACCGCAGTATCCACTACAGGAGCATGACAAGACAGTAGTAGCTACTTTTCTTCTTTTCTAACTACTGATAAAAGAACAGAAGTTTCTGTATAATAGGCCCAAGCTAAGAAGGTAGAATAGTTGAGAAGAAAGAGAGATGAGTCCCTCTATGCAGTCTATGCAACACTGACCTGACCATGCAGCCCAACCAGGGGCTCGGCCCGGGACTCAGCTCCCGTGTTGGGTGGCACTGAGCAGCCGAGGGAAGAGCCTGCAGTCAGGTGAGACCGTCATGAAACTTCTCCAAGTCCAGGTACATAGGCCACCAAAATGCAGGTCATTTTCACATTCCATTAGGAGATAAATAAGTTGATGCAGCCATTTTCAGAGCAATTTGGTAAAGGGTATGATATTTTCATCAACAGGGGAAAGGTTTAATAATTTTAGGTGCATTTTTATTTTGCAGCCATTTAAAGAAATTGAGGAAATCTGTAGGAAATCCAAAAGGTTGGCCATGATATAAGGCTTAATGACCAGAGGAAGTTTTAGAGTATGAGATATGGTATAAACCAGGGGTCAGCAAAATTTTTCTGTAAAGGGGCTGATAGAAATACTTAATGCTTTGAGGGCATATTGTCTTTGTTGCTACTCCTCAGCTCTCCTCTTGTAGTGGAAAAGCAGCCACAGATGAAACTTAAATGGCAGAGCATGTGTCCCAATGAAACTTTTTGATGGACACTGAAGTTTGAAATTTATGTACTTTTCATGTGTCATGAAATGCTACTCTCTTTGTTTTTATTCTCTTCTTTCTCAACCATTGAAAAACGTAAAGGCCATTCTTCCCTTGTTAGCTCATGGGCTGTGTGTAGACAGTCGGTGGGCCTGATTTGGCCTGTGCAGTGTAGTTTGCTGACCCCTAGTATGGTCCTGGGTGTATAATTTTTATCTACGTACACACACAAACATGCACGTGTGCACCTGTACTCCCTCAATGAGAATTATCTGGAAGTATATGCCCCCAACTCTTAATGATCATTACTACTGGTAATTAGTGGGTGCCTAAGCATTGAATCCAGATGGCCCGATTTTATGAGCCCAGCTCTGTCGTTTACTAGCTGCAGGACTTTGGGCGAATTACTTTACCTTCTGGGTGCCTCAAGTTTTTTGTCTTTCAAAGATGCCTCCTTGGGTTGTTTTGAGGATTAAATGAGTTAATGAAGTACAACATTTACAAATGTGCCCTGCACATAATAGTTACTGTATAAATTCTAGCTATGAAGGTGGACACACTCTCACTTTTTTATCTTTTAAAATATTGTTGAGCTATATTTCACATATTATACACTACACCATTTTAAAGTGTACAATTCGGTGAGCTTTTATTATGTTCACAATGTTATGCAACCATCCCCATTATCTAATTCTGGAATGTTTCCCTCATCTCAACAAGAAATCCCATATCTCTTAGGAGTCACTCCCAGTCTTTCCCTCCCCACATGACCTTGTAACCACTAATCTACTTTCTGCCTCTATGGATTTCCTACTCTGGACATTTCATATTTATGGGGTCGCACAATGTAGCCTTTCATTTCTGCCTTCTTTCACTTGGCCTGTGTTTTCAGGATTCATCCCTGTAGCACATGTGTTTGGGGGTGGACACTATTCCGTTGTATGGATCTACCACGTTTCGTTTATCCATTCATTAGTTGGTTTGTTTC